GAGCTGGAAGTCAAAGTGCAGCATACTTTTGGTTGTTTTAGCGTATAGTACTTAATTTTCGGGGATGTAGGTCGTTCAAGTGAGGCTGCATAATTGCAAAAAATAACTGGGTTTTTTTATTTTTACAGAAAAAAATTGTAGGCTTTTTCTGCGCATGAAGCCGAATTTCCCCCCGAAAAAAATGTTAAACTACTGTTCTGTATTCCGTTTTCCCCTCTTCGAAATGATTGAGAACATGGGGCCTCTTACGAAATTTTTTTTTTAATATACTTGAAATATTTTCTTTAAGAATGTACGAAAACAGGAAAAAAAGTCCCCCTGAAGAAGTGTTGGTTTAGATGTTTTTGGTGCGCCGAAGGCCGGTGTGAAGCATACTTTTGGTTGTTCTAGTGTACTGTATCCTCGGGGAACACGGGCCACATAAGTGAGGCTGCATAAGTGCCAAAAAATAAAATCATTTTTAATTTTTGCAGAAAACAATTCAAGGTTCTTCTGCGCACGAGGCCACGTTTTCTCCCGTCGAATTGTTCTACTACACATTTTCGTTCCTCCTCCTTGAAGAGATCGAGAAAATGCAGCCTCTTGCGTGAAAAAAATTGAAATATATTCTGCAAAATGTACAAGAACAGGATAAGAGAATTCCTTCGAAAGAGTTCGTGGTGCGCTAGTAAGCCTGTGTGAGGCATAATTCTGGCTGTTTCGCTGACGGGACTTCATTCTCGGGAAATAGGCCGCATATATGAGGCTGCGTAATAACTTCTTTGCGGCCTGCACAATGAAAAAGTATAGTATGCGGTATACAGGCATATTTAGTCTAGGCCACAGTGGAATTTCGCCCGAAGTGAACGCGGTACACGTACAGTATACGCGAAAGAGGTATACATCGGGGGAAAAAAGCTTCCCATCTGTCCTGTTTCCCTGTGTCAGTGAGTGCGTGTATGTTGTTGCCCTTCTGTCGAAATTTGGAAGGCAATGCGGAGATAGTGATCAAGTTGAAACGGAAGTTTTACGTGGCAAGGGTAGCGACGAGAAAAAAAAATTTGGAAAAAGGGGCTTTATCGCTCCTTCGTGTGGGCGGGCTCTTGGAATTCAAAATACAGTAAAAGGGTGTTCTTTGTGTTAGTGTCCTCTTGGAAATGCTGAAGCCGTGTACCTTGTTTTATTTATTTTTCCTTGTTGGAAGAAGAGACTTGGATCAATTTTCTCACCTGAAAGTCGTATACCTCTGATCTTCACGATGAGCTCTATACGGCATCTGTTCGTGAAAAAGTATCATGCAATAACTCAAATTTATCCACTTTTTTGGGAGATGGTCACGATTGTTCAGATTCTGAACCCAGAGATTATTGCCGTCCAATTCTTCATGAAACAAGTATTTATGGTAAAAATTTAATTTCTGATGCTCACATTGAATAATTTTTTTGGATGCCAATTAGAGCCTTTTTCCCTTTTTAATGAGAGTGAGATTTGTTGGAAATGACGTTTGAGTCGAGGTTGACTTTGAGAATAAATGCAGTAATATTTTTGAGTTGTGTTGGCTGTTATAGTGAAATCGTAAAATATGCTCAAATACTTGTTGGTAATACTATTCGTGGAACGAACTACCTTTGAATTGTATTAAACAATTATACACGTGATTCATTTTATAGAAAATATTTTCAAAGATGACTTATTTCGCTTGATTCAGGCATCTGATTTTTGCAGCTTCGGTTTCTGGAACAAATACGCATTTCATTGCTATATATTTAATATGCTATAGACTCCTACAATAAAATTGTTCCTGTATTGGCTCTTCCTTTTTTTTTTGAAATTACCTAATGAACCCATTTAATGGTGTGCTTATTTGTTTTATGTGTATCGTAAGTAAATGAGGTACAGAAGTTGGTTGAGTGAAATCAAGATGATTTTCTCTTTTTCTGAACTTCATCAGTGACTTATTAAAATAGCCTCGAGTTGCTGCGTAATTGGATACGCAATCGTATCCAAGGAACAATTACTTTTTACGTTAGACGTTTCGTGCACCTTGACAGTTTTTCCACTTGCCTGATTCAATTAAATTTTGACCTTGACTTTTCATTTTTTTATTGCACGTCCGTATTTCATCATGTCGGCTGATCTCCAGAGCAGTACTGGTTTCTCTTTTATTTCAACAAAAACAAGGTACAGCACCTTTTTTTTATTTCGCTTGTGGATTTCATCAAGTGTGTGGGACGTGGACAAGCTGTACGAAGTTATGTTTCACGAGAAACCCCAGAGACTAAAGGATCTTGCCCATGACACTTTTATCTAGAAAGACCGGATTTCTCCGTAAAAATCCTTTTCGAAATGAATGGAGTGTACTGTAATTACGAACTTCTTACTTGAGCACGAGTAATAAGTTATGTTTATCAATGAAAAATAATTTTAATTAAAGCCGCAAATTCGCGAGTTCATGTATTCAGCGAGCTCCTAGTTCAGTGGATATCACTTGGTGCGTGAATTCGCATGGAGACAGAAACTCAGCTACTGTACTGTCATTTTGAATTGCATTCTATAAAGAAAAATGAAGTTTTGCAGAATATTAATTTTAAATTTCTTGCTAAAAAAAAAAAAAGTATTTACAGAACTGTGCGGTTACAACTGAGACGAATGTTTCATGACTCCGTTCAGCCTGGAGGGAAGATATTTTCGCACGGCGGATTTCTGAACCTCAATCAATGTTCTGTATTGTACGAAATCGAGGTTACAGTTTTACGAGGTTACATTTTACGATTGAGCAAGGCAATTTTAAAAACAGCTTCATTATGTTTGAAGAGAGGGCTACATTTTCATCAAGGTTTAGTTTCGCAGCCATTTCGAGGGCAAAAATAATTATTGAAATATTAACTGCGTTTGTTCCTCTCGGCGCAAGTGAGCTTTTTAGGCAACGCTATTCAAGCCTAATTTTCACCCGGAGTCGACGTTTCCACAGGGTTTATGCAGTACTGTACTGTATTTTTGAAATGAGAGCATATGAAAATGAAATCTTCCGAAAAGGTCGTTCAGTGCTCTAGCTAATTTATCGCCTCACATGGGCTTTATTTATGCCTAATTTTTCCATCGTGAATAATGGAATCTTAAATTCTATCACTTTTCTAACTACCATATCTTGTTACGTCTTATTTCCATGTTTGTCTTCTAGACTTTTTGCAGATCTTCGTGTAGTATAGGAACCGAGGAATTTTAGCGAACCTTCTGGTAAAGGGAGCTCAGATGAATTAATTAGATCGCTGCGTTCCAATGAGGCTGTAGCACACATATATAAAGCTGGGAGATGCATTCGTGTGACATCAAGGTTAAATGTGTAAAAAAAAAATGGAAAGATGTAAGCCAGGAATCTATGCAGAACATTTTTATGATTGATATGAGTATCTGAACTACTCTCAAAAAGTCTTCATGAAATCCTATTACTGTAGTCACTGGAAGAAAGTTCAGGGAATTGGAATCCGCGTAGAAATCAGCTATTCCTCTTGTGCAAATATGCATTACAGAGATTCAAAAACTTCTCTTCGCCGGATGGAAAGTGTGGTTCGAAGAGAAAGAAATATCCTGAATATCTAGAGAAAGCGGAACTGGAATATTATTGATGCAGTAGTAAACTTGGATTTCTAAGGAACAATATTATTGATGCCGTAGTAAACTTGGATTTCCAAGGAACAATTATAAGGAACACGAGGTATTTTTGCTGTGAAGTTTCACTGTGTACGAAACTTTATCTATCCATTTATAAATCATTTGTTTTTCGGATTTTCTATGTCTTCAAAATTCGAAGAGCTTTTACGAGATTCCCATGTTGAATTAATTCTCCTTCATTTGTTCCGAAATTCCTGAATATAATGTAAATTGTAAATGAACCTTCTGCCATTTTCTGACGAGGCCTCAGAATATCTGATGAATACCGATACAGTACTGTTTTATACTTTTGAATACAATTTTATACTTTTCGTCTTCCGCACTGTCGGTCTGAAAGAGCTGCAGCAATTTTTTGTATTTTCACCCCGAATTTGCTTTATTGTATGCATTCATGCTCCGTAAATTTCTATTCACCCGAGAAGACGTGAAAAATTCCATTCCATCTTGTGCGAATGCTGTGAATTTCTTGTAAATGTAAATACTGTACCTGCTATTGAAGATTTCCAGTCGTACTATCCCGCACTGCTGATCTGAAAAAAAGTGTAAATTTCATCGGAGTCCTTCCTATTTCATAAAGTCTTGTTCATATATTTCTGAAAGTTTGAGAAGATGTTCAATTTAACCTAAACTTCTCGCGCGAACGCTCTGAATTTTTGATGGATGCAAATATCGTAATCTTTATAGTACTGTGCTAATATTTCATGCTTCCGGTCTGGAAGAGTTGCCGTACTATTTTTAAAGGAAACATGGGCCTGTTCTATCTTTCAATTATTAATTTATCTGTTCGTCTGTTAGTTGAAAATAAATCCGGAAGTTTCGCATCACATCTTCTTCATAAATCACCGTCTTTATAATAGTTTTACAATATCCGCTTTCGAAGCTTGGAATATTCACGCGGAAAGCGGCCGTTTTTCAAATATGCCCTTGGGCCTCGAGTTATTTTATCCTCTGGTCTATAGACATTTCCTTTCAAAGAATATAAGCCTCAGGACAGACATCACGTTTAATGACGATTTCGCAATGTGTTCTTATATATTGTGCGATTTTTTATATCCGGCAATTGGACAATATTAAAGGCGCGGACAACCTCATCATAAGAATGAATAGAAGGAGAATAAAAGGAAGAATAAAAGAATAAAATATGAATAAAAGGAGAAACTGGTCAATTTTATGTGAATTTTCAATGCAACTGTTCGTGTGCAATTTTCATTGTTCCACGGAACGCGGGTTGATTCGGTATTTTCCTTTTTTTTGTTCCGTCGTTTTTCATTTCGCGTGAATGGATATTTCGAATAAGCTAGGTTTTCAGTGATACGTGTTTAAAATTTTGAGAAAGAAAAAGGAGAATCATGGGAAACCATCACTCTGGTCGACATCGAGTGGAAGACGATGACGACCACTTCTACTACACGAGCGGGAGGTACAGTAAAATGCGAGGGTTCCTCGGGTTACAAACCTTGGTTTTTTTTCTTCTTTCATCTTCATCGTCGACGTTGATTCATCATCTACGAAAACTTCACGCTTGACATGATGCAGACCCTTTCTGCTTCATTCTCAAAGAATTGTTTTTCTGCTTCATTGCGTGAATTTATGAATAATTCTCTGGCGAACTCGAAGTGAAACGACAAAGCGGGTCGTTTGAAATTCGCTTTGAATGATCTTTCCTCTTTTTGTTTGTTGAGGGGTTTTATATCGCACTTGACCTGCTTGTCTGTAGTTGAACCAGAAAGCAAGCTATGAATCTTCAAGCTACGAATGTCGCCTGAACTTTATATGACGTCAAAAGAAAAATTCAAGTCGAAACTAATTTCGAATGACGTCCCATGATGAGTTTTTGAATACATAGCTGTGACCATCTCGCGTATTGTAAGAAGATGCACTCTGAGAAAAAATGTCCAGTGTTTTTTTCTAGGGTTGAAAGAGTTCATACGAAGGTTCCCCCTTCGTACACACGACTTCATATTTGTGAACAGGCACACATTCAAAAATATTCCATTAATTGCTTTGAATAATATTTCAGACGTTTTTGACATTTTTTGAAAACATTTTTCTGCAAGGTTTGTGACTTGCTGACGATAAAATCGAGGAAGATCCTTGTGGCAAGCTGTGGATACCGTAATTGAATGATTTTTTTGAATGTGTATGTTTTTTTGTTGTTCAAATTCGTACGAAACAATTTGTTGTTGAATTTTCTCTGCCTAGTTTTGAAGAATTCGCTGCGAAAATTGCAAGTACTACTCTTGTATTCGAAATTATTTAAAAGTAGACTGTGCGAGGACGCTATTCAATTCTGAATTTCCCAGTGGCCCAGGATGATTTTCGCTCGACAATTATTCACAATTTTCCATCGGTCGCAGTTCATTAGACGAGTCTTATCTAGTAATTCGATTTTTAAAACAATTTCAGTCTTTTCATCTCATCGCTCCGTCTCACGATGGAGCTCATTAACGAACAAGCTGAAGCGTTGTTTTTCCGTTTCATTAAAGCGTTTTGGATATCCTGGTGGAATTCCGCCAAGTCTCATGGACCCTGTTTTTTCCTCTTTTTAATTGCCTGTTCAGGTTACCGTCGCCGTTCAACAAGCAGCAGCAGCAGCAGCAGGTGAATGGCAGTTATCAAAACGGGAACTCCTGTGGTGGTGTTCCTGGAACAGGGACAGGCGTTGACCAGTCGCGGTTGATCAAACCTCCATCAGGTCTAGTCAGAGGTGAGTGTTTTTTTGTTTGTTTTTATCTCTCGCATCATGTCGTAAATTAACTCGAGATTTACTTGAAGTTAACAGCTATTTACGGGTGACAGAACCACACTCTGCTTCTTGACGCAAGGTTTTTTTTTGTTATCCTCGTTGGAAGAGAGCTGCGGTATCATGGGGATTATTTTTGTTCACCAGGACCCACTGATTGTGACGCTTGATGATTGGCAGTTTCATGTGTTGAGTTCATTAGTCTGCTCGATGATGATGGTTCATACGAGGTCAGGATTAGACTCTTCGCATTTGCTGGAGACACTCGTCTCATGTCTGTTTTTAGTTGAAGGCACAAGAAATATCGGTTTCATTAAATGAAAACATGGGAGTCGATGTGCTGGGCGTTACCGTCGTTCTATGAAATGTTATGATTGGAGTAAAAAAAAGAACATCGAATCCTTGAATCCACAATTGGTCCTGTGGGTTACAATACCACGTCGAATATCTCACGAAAACATGGGACTTGAGCTTTCTGTGCGAAGCGTCGAATCGCTACATTGAAATTAATTTAATCAATTCATTTCTTTGGTGAAAGCATTGTTGGATTCATTTATTTCTTTGATGGATCTACATTGTTTAGTTCTAGTGCTGTGTATGGTGGAGAAAATTGTAGTCAGCACTCGGCTTTTCTGTTGAGACGCTTCACAAGTTGATTTCACGGATACAGTAATTCACTTTCCAGAATGAGAGAAAAGTACTCTACTGTACTACCGAACTGCAGCGATTTGACTTGTGCAAAATATTCCCTCCCTTCACTCTCTTCCAGAAGTCGACGGGAGAAATCAAAATGGAGAAGTTTTTCTCGAAGGTCTACGTTCCTGTTGCCTTCAGAGATCCATTAAAATAGATGGAATTTTTCATCCTCAATGCATTTCATTTGCGCAAAAGCCGACAGAAAGCCCTCGTAACGGTAAATCCTCCGCGGATCGCAAAATTAGATATCCATTCACAGATTTTTTTTTTCAGTGAAAGGCTCCGACTCGCATTTTTGCTGATTAACCAGCACAGTATTCCTCATTTCTCTCTCTATGTATTCCCTCTCTTATTTTTTTAAAATAAAAATTATGAATCACTAGAAAAGTATTCCTCCTGCATTATTACTCCCAAGACGGGTGAGCCACTGGTAAAATTTCGGCAAGAAAAATATAGAGGGAAATTACGACGTTTCGGTTTTATTTCTTGATGGCAAACCGGATCCAGGTTTTTCTGTCGCGTCACTCGTGTTTAACCAGGGGCGTCTTCCCTTGCAACGCACCAGTTAACCACGTGGGCCGTTGACGAAGCTTATTTGTTTGCCCCTCTAACCGAGTAACCCTCGTTTTCTGGAACCGAATCCCACCCCAGTCCGAAGTCCGAACTCATTTCTCTTTCGAATGTACAGGGTTGGACCAGAAGAAAGTAGGCCAAATTTTGATCAGCGTAAAATCTCACGAACACCTCAATGGGTACAGTATATCATCTTGGGGAAAGACTGAAATCGAAACTCGTTCAATTATACTATTTTTATCGATTGCCATGCGCCGTTCTGTCAAACACGCACCTTTATTTTTTTAGGCAATTTTAAAAATATAAAAATAAATCTTTGCATCAGACGTGCAAGTCAAGTTTTCCGGGACACGAAAGTCAATTTAGTTTTTTAAAACGAACGCTAAAATTTGAGATTTAGACTGATGAAACTTGAATTAAATTCTGCTGCATTCATCTGTTAGTTTGACTCAAGACTGATCATATATTGTTACTCACTATAGCCTCTAAAGAGGTATTTCTGTAGAAATTTACTGAATGTGTTGAAAATATGACGCGCTAACCTGTACAAAATTCGCAGAAAAATATGCGTACTGGAGTATGAAGCTCACCCCGTTTTTCGACCTCAACTTATCAGGAAAAAAGTTCGTGTGGTACTTGAGTAAATTCAGTACTTCAAATGATATCCGATGGTATTTCGGTGCCAGTTTCATCGGTATGACCGAATCGCGTATTTGGTACATTTTCAGAAAATCGGGGGAAATTCTGGGACATCCCTGAAAGATTTACAGGGGAAGAAGTGTTGGGATGTTGCTCGTGTGACTAATTGTAGGTTACGCTTCGCTCATTCAAAGGTGCGTGTGATTAGGACAAACTTCGTACCATCCCCGCGATCTAGTAAGCGAAAATAAGAAAACTTTCTCCTCACAGTTATTTAATTCCAATGTGCGTGTTGGTCATTCGAGCGCATCTAAAGCCATACAATTCACATCATTCAAAATATAATTGAATGAGCTTTACTGTAACATTTTTTTTCTTGCGTTAGCTCAAACCCGTCAAATGTGATTTGCTCTTTAAAAACAATTATATATTTTGGTAAACCCTGTACAGTATAAGGTTTTCGACTAGTTTGCCAGCTGGCAGAAGAAGAATACTCCAACGCCCATTTCTCATGAAGACGGGCTCATGATGAACGCCCAATCCATGATTGACGACATCGAATGATTCGAAGAAAAGTGTTCGTTGTAACTCGAGAGGTATTCGATAACCCACAATGAAATCGAGATCCCGTTGCGTTTTGAGGCGTGCATTAATATTCGGCGCATCGACCAAACCGTTCCTGATAAGGACGCGAGGAGTGGCTTTATTATAAGCCCCCTTTTCGAATTTGCATCTCATGAAAGTCAACTGGATCCCAGCCGCCTGGTGAAGCGCAAAATCCGAGGACTTACATCCCGGCGTCGTACTCCTGAGCAAATTTTCTTGCTCAGAGTTTCATGGGAGGATGAGAGGAACTGTCTTAATGAGCAGCGTAAGAAAAACAAGATACATTATGTCGGGGATCTGGTTCTCAGGTGACAGCCGCTGTTAGCTCATGAAATTCTAGCCATGCATGGCATTTGTCAACCCGAGTGTGAAGATAACAAGCATATACACTCGAGACAACGCTGGCGATTCTCTCGTGATTTCAGCTTTCTTTTTTGACGGGAGGTATCAAATTCTGAACTAATTGGGCAGCAGTCAACATGTGAAAATATCAACGCTTGATACAGTTGAACCTTTGAAAGTCGAATTTTTAGGGACCAGAAAAAAAACTTAACTTAGGGAGGTTTTGATTTTCAGGGGTTTCCAGTTCAGGAAAAAAACACCTTTTTGTGAGGAGAAGTGAAAAAAAAGTGTGGGAAATAATAAATGAGGATATTCTGGGCCTAAACTTGCTCCTTTATGAGTTTAAACCTTGCTGAACTTGGAGGCAGGGGTTCATTTGCTATATTTGCCTTTCACTTCCTTTCAAGATCCACCAAATTATTTGTTTTAATCATTTTCTCTTCCATATTTCAAGGAAATAATAACCAAAAGGCGTCAAAAAATTCGACTTACAGAGGTTTTAGAGAGAAAAAAACTTTGAAATAAGGAGGTTTTTAATGTATTGATTCTAAGAGAATTCAGACATGGACTTTAAAAAAAATTTGACTTAAGGAGGAATTTGACTTGGGGAGGTTTGACTTGTGGAGGTTCACCTGCGTGTACATCATATCAGTTTAAAATCCCTTTTTGTATTTGTTTGGGTATTAAAACATGCGCTGCATTTGTTTAATATCGAATCCGTTTTTTAATTAAAATTTTTAGAACGAAGAGTTTTTTCGTTGTTGAGGAATCTTCATTTCCGTGAAAATACGATCTTTTAATGTGAAGTTACTTTTAAGCCGCGGTAACTCCTGAATGGCTTGAGCTATAGCTGCGAAATTTGAAAAAAGGGCAAATTAAAGTTCATTTTTTATATATGGACTGATTTTTTTCTCTATGACTCGAATAGCAATGGTATTTACCTGTAAATAAAATATAAAATGCAGTTGCGCACATGTCTAAAAACTGCGGCGTTCACCTGAAGCCGTGTAAAAGTTTCAAAATTTTTCGAGATTTTAGACTGATGAAGAATTTCAGGCACGTACCTCGTCGGTTTTCTTCAAATATTTTAAACGAATTCCTCGGGACTTTTAAAAACATTCATGAGCGAAATTTTTCGACAGTCTCTTGTAGATGAAAAGGAAAAATTTCATGGGAGACAAAATTCGGATTTTCTGTCGAAATTCCGCGCACCCTTGGAAAAGACGATGTAAACAAAGTTCTTTGCGTGTGCTAATGGATCAGTCTGCTGAAAATTAATGACATACTATACAATATAAATAATTTTGTGCCAGGAAAATCACTTTCTACCGAGGATGCATGGAACTGCGTCAGGAAAGCTGCACTCCGCCATCGACCGAATAATTCTTGTTTTATCTGCAAGCTGTTGGAGAAAAAACGAATGTTGTCAAGTAACACTTCAGAGGTGCCCTAAAATGGTTCTAAGGCTTATTTTTGGGCAAACCTGGGGGTATTTCCGTGTCGTATGGTTCATTGAACCCCTACATCTGTGGAAAGGGTAAAAGGTCTTGTCGTTTCCTGGCGTATTTTGTTGATGAAAACCGCGTTCCAAACGATGGAATTATTCTGTATGTTTATTCGATCGCGTCGAAGAGTATACCGACACGCACTTTGTCCGTGTCCCCCAAATAAAATCGATCAATCCCCATCAGGGGACGCTCTCGATTGTTTGTGGTGAAAGATGACCCCCTGTCTGCATAGCATAAGTATATGTCGTCTGGTTTCGGGTTGCGGACATGCATGTGAGTTCTTGAATTGCTGCATCATGCCGCGGATGTAACTAGACTGCCTGATTCAGTTGGCGCCCGAGCTGTCCGCATCCCAGGGTGATTAAGTGACACAGGAAATCGATTTGTAAGATAATTAGCGGTTTCAGAATGAGGCTCGAGCGCTGGGCGATAAATCCAGTTCTGTGGCTTTGCGTTTTCTCAATTTCTGATTATGCAGGGTACTGAGTGATGCGAGACATTAATGCAGTCAAATCAGCATCCATCAGATTCTCTTTTTCTGGTTGATATTTTTTTTGGTACTGAGATTTTGGTAAATGGGCTTTACAACTAGGAAAGTAACCGATACAGCAGTGTGCATATGTACGCAGCACTTAGCAGGGTGACGGCAGAAAAGAACCTGGGCGAATAGCGACATGAAGAAGAAGTCCATTAGACCAACTTTTTCTTGTTGGAAATTCTCTCTTTTTTTTTTCGCTTTCGTATTACAGTACAATGGTTTTGATTGAAAAAGGCCAGGATTTACATCACGAATAGGAATACTGTGTTAGTGTGTTTATGATGAATATTCAACCAATTACTTGGTCATTATTTTGCAGAGAACACTTCGTGTGCAACGTCATCGTCCGCATATACTGTATTGCACATTAATTATTTACGAAGCATTCTTAATTTAACAAAAGTTTGTTTCAATCCTCCGAAACCCCACGATACGACAAGTATCAAGATGCATTTTAACATAGAGTAAACTGAACTTTTGATCCAAATCACTGCCAGGATCGTCTTTCATCCTTTTTGCGTTTCTCCAGACTTGCTGAAAATGCGAAATAAGCTTTCTGTTTTTGACTGATCATGTTTTCGTTGTATACTGTATATTTATATATATTTATTTTATTTTTTTGCAGGTCAACAAACTCCTTCGCATAATGGTGCTAATGGCAAACCGAGCTCATCGAACAGTTCAAGATCGACCTCACCGACGAATCATTCGTTCATCCCGACTCCGAGGTCTCTCCAAAATACCCCAAATGTTCCCCTGAAGCACCAGAACGGCTCCAACACTGCCAGTGGCATTCCTGCAAGGTAATGAACCTCTTAATTGCCGAAAACGGGAAAATTTCTGCTCGGTATCTCGTCTCGTGACGCAAGCGCGATCTTGATGGAGAGAGTGATTGATGTGAGAACGAATGATGTCATTCTTCGAAAAGCTACCGGGCGAAAAGTAACCGTGACGAACCAATTGTTTGACCGCAGCATGGGTAAAAAAAAATTATATTTTAAAAAGCATTTCCGGTTATAAGAGGTACTGAGTTCGAGGTATCGGGTGCGGCATGGCTTCGCAAGTGAAGTTTATATTTTGCATCGTATAAAAACCGTTTCCACGTCAGGAATAGTGAGAAATCAATCTGAATTTTGTATTTTGTAATCCGCTGAATATTCCTTGTACGAACGAAGCGCTACCTTCAGGCTTCAGAGATGAAATGTAATTTATAGATGACGGTTTTGATCCAGAAAACAGTGGGTCGGTCGGTTTGCTTTTTGCTTCGTGGTCTTTTACTGTCGTTGTTGGAATGGGTAGCGTCATCTCGAGGGGGTATGTGAAACTCGCTACGATATCCTTTTCGTGCCGGTCGTTGGAGTGAGTGAAAATCCACGGAACACGAGTTCCGGTCCCTCGTGATAGTTTCAGTCTCTCAGTAGAGCGGGAGCTTCGTACGTAAGTGTTCGTTGCCCCCCACGTGGGAGAACACTCTTGCGGTCGTGTTCGTGTCTCTCGTCCCCTCATGTTGTGAACGAACCTGAAGAGCTTATGTATTCCCTTCGTTGGCCTGCTCTCCTTCAGTCTTCCACTGGCTGAAGATGGGAATTCAAACTGATATGGTTGATTTTCGACGACGTTAGCTCAACGATTGTTGGTCAGATCGTGTATTCTTCATCTGTAATAGCTAACTGTGATCGCTTCTGTGACGAACTGTACATGTCTGATGCATGTCGTCTCGTCGAGCATTTTGCGATTGATGCTACGAAAAAGTAAATTATTGCTACTTCGAAGTGAGAGAAGAAAAGCTATTCGGATTCCATCGACAATGTGGTGTTGGGTAATCCTAAAATTATTATTCATGTGAATTTGTGAGGTTTTTACATTTTTTTCAGTGATATTGGTGGTCCTAATAAGGGTGGTCCTCTCCGCAGGATTAAGATTGTTTTCGGTTGGGACGGGAGTTGGGAAGTCTGCAATTCTTTCTGTTTCTGTTGCATAAATTAGTTTTGGGCAATGCGGTAACTCTTCTGTTCCAATATTTTTTAAAATTCATAATGTATTCGCTTTCATTTAAATGACTACATTATAGTAAATTTCATTCATCCATGATGAATGAAATTTGCGCCTAAACGTAAAAATTTTGAAGCTACAGTACTAAGAGGCTTCTTCTGGCGTACGTATTCGTGTATAGGAGCTAATAATAATCCACTTTATTTCAAACTGTACTGTTGTCTGAATGATTTTTTTAAATGTTGGATTCTTCTCTTGTTTCAGAAATTGCATGATACCCGGTCGATCGAGCTTGCGATTGCCCTCGACAAGCTCAGGATCGGGTGGCAAATCCGTGAAGCAAGCTAGCGTTGTGGAAGATGACCCGAAGACGCTAAAAACAAAGGGATCAAGCATGTTCGATAAGTTGAATGTCTTCCACCGCGATAAAGAACGCGCCAGTACAAAAGCTTTGTCAAGTTCAAGTGCCACAAGTACGTTACCTGAGCTCGAATTTGTGTAACTTTCATTCTCATTTGTTACGCGGTTTTTAGGGAATGCTGGCTCAGGGACGAATAAGCGGGCCTCCAGCTCCAGTGGGTTCAGCTCTGCTCACAGTCAAAGTGATTCTTCATCCGTGGATCGTCCGTCTCCGGTTCTTGCCTCGACTCCATCCATGATATCCCGCAAAGGTGCCAAAACGAATGCATCGCCGAAACTGCGAAAACGTTCGGAGGAACCGGCTCCTGCCACTTCTTCAATATCGCGTTTGGATGCGAGTCGCAGGAGCTCCCGCGGCAGTCGTATGCCGGTCCCAGTTTCAGTGCCAATGTTGCCTCAACAAACTTCGGAAGCTTCGTCCGATCTCGCCTTCAAACCCACTGCCGCTGTCAAAGCAACACCTTTGAGTGATCATAATATCTTGCCAATAACTCGTGCAGTGCCCGAAAAAGAAGCGAAGCTTCCTAATGGTTAGTTTTTCTATGAGGTTTATTTAACTCTCCGTACGCAGGTCCGTGTGAGAATTTCTGTACGAAGTCTTGCGTCTCAATTTTTGACCCGCGCTTCTGCTGGAGTTTAAAACACCACGTTTTTTACAAAGGACTCGACACGGCTTGCAAATCTTAAAAAGAGACAACGTCTAAACTTGCGTTCCAGAACTTATCAAGATAACTGTATAAATATAGTAAGTACGCAAAACTTTATTAAAATACTGTATTCTTACTATTAATTGCACGAGAAATTTCTCTATTTTGTGCGTTACATGTTACACCACATGATGCATGTGCTACTAAACTCTGGAAATTCTGGATATTTCGAAGAGTTAATTCACGCATATTCATGACAATTTTATCAAAGCGAAGTAAGGCAGTGTGATAGAACGAAGAAAAAAGTGAGCAACTGCCACATTTCTAGTAACGAGTTTTCGACACCTATAAGAGCGTAGGAAACACTTGTTACCTTTTTCTATGCGACTTATGACTTGTGTCCAGGAAACGACATCAGGACAGCGAATTTTCCCTGTTGGGAAAGGAAGAAAATTTAGGAGAAATGAGCTTGAAAATCATCCTAGTATCTTTTTTTGTGTCTTGTTACAATAATATAGAATGAATCACACAGAGAAACAGTATTCCAGTAAATCGGCGAAACTTGTCTCTTCCCGGGGTACATAACGAGTTATACCTGTTGGGATGATGTTGAAACTGTTACACTTCTTTTACACTGTCCCGAAATTCTGTGGCACGAATTTAGAAGTCAACGACCGGAAGTTTTATATTGTTCTGCGCGTTATAGCCGGGAAATGTCTGCTTTATCTTCTAGCTTTAGATTCGTTTAAGTTCAGAAACTAGAAATGATTGGAATTTCGAATGTTCGAGTTTCATTTTTTTTTTTCTGAAAATTCCACAGGTACGACGGACGAGAAGCACGGAATTAACATTGCACTAGTCTCTCCAATGCTCAACCGACGGATGAATGATCAACCAGAAAATATCTCCATCATTGAAAAAGTGCCTGAGAAACTTGCCGAGCCTCCACCACCACCCATACCTATGGATCCACCTCCTCCTTTGCCCACTGTGCCTGTGGCAAAGCCGGTAAACGAGTCATGCTCAGAATCAGAAGTGAAAGATGAAGTTGACCCAGATGACGAGATAGTCATGAATATTCGTCCGATGGAGCCTGTCCTTCGCACTGCCAATTTTACGTTTTTGAGAGGGTTGTCTCGAGGTTCTGCATCAGCTGCAAGTGCCAATTCTCCGTTCGAAGCTTTTTTGAGGAAGCGGATGAACAATGGAGTCTGTTCCGCTGATCCCGGGCAAGGTAAGGCGTTTATTTTGAGAAAAAGGGCTGGAGAAAATAGCTCAGTTGCATGAATAACGGAAAAAGAAAAATTCATGCAGTATTCGTTTCAAGACCTCTCCACGCGAATTCTACTTCTCAATAATAGAGCTGCTTGAATTTTACCCCTTGGATTTTCCTTTGGATGAATTTATTCTGTTTTATATCCCCCTGAGATGCGTTCGTATTGACATTCTGGAGGAGTGCGTCTTCGAGCCAGTAGAGATTATTATTTTTTAATTGAAAAATGTTTGATGCTAAAGTACTGTACTTTATTTCGAATAGGCATTTCAAAAAATCAAAGTTCCAAATTTGTGCTTCGTCACATGTTGGAGAGGATAAATATATCGCTATAGTGGTCGTTCAAAATTCACGTTAGCTTCGTGAGTGTCATCAGTCTACGTCCATTGAATGCGATGCGGAAACGACTACGTTCTCAGTTGATGTTCGGTTTATCTTTCGCCGGAAGTCATACCATTTCCCCGTCCAATTCTTTTCTTCCCCTTGGACGTTTTGGGATTCATTCGCGAATGTCCTCGTTTCTCCCGCAGGATATTTGTCTGACAGCGAAGCAACGGGGTATAATGGAGCTCCAGTCGACAACTTCGACGGGTACATGTCCGAAGGAGGAGCTGGGTTGCATGCTGCTTCAAAACGCAAACAGCCTATGCAATATCCGGTTCCTGTCCCAGAAGAGTGAGTTGACACATTTCGGTCTTTTTTTCTGTTGGTATTAAATGCGCACTTATGTATTTTTCTCGAGACTAATGTTAGCGTCGTCTAGTTCTTTTTGTTGGTCTTGGACGCGTAGTTTTGGATATTTTTCTCGAGACTAATCTCAACATTAGTCGTCGTTTCTATAAGAACGGCTCGTGCATAATTTTGTCGTGTATGCGATGATGACGAGGCAGAAGTCCTGATCCGGTTGAATGTTCAGAACGATTAATGGAGTACTTTATGAAGAGCGTTATCTGCGGCTGGAATGCGGGCTGGTGTAGGCTTCCAGGAAAATAGTACCCTTTGTTTGTGGGTTGGTAACTATTCGTACCATCACGAATGCGTCCGGATGATCCCCGAAGTATAACTTGATGAAAAAGAAGCACTGGCAATAATTTAGCAATTTCTCGTCACACGGAGCCGTGCTTTCAAAAACATGATGCGTCGTAATGAAAAATGCAATTTTAATTACACGTAGTGCAATAATTCCCGATCATAAAATTTAAATCCGTTCATTAAATTATGTCTTTTCAAGCCGATGGAAAATATGCGACGCACGTCCACTGTTGACATCCGACGTTAAATGTGAACGGGGAGAATGAGAAAATCTGGTCCGCGTTTGAAACTACGTACTGTGTAAATGTCAAGGTTTCGTATTGAAGTTCAATAGGGAGTTTGAATCCAGGCTTTTGGCTTTCGAAGTTCCAGCAGATCTAAAATTTACCAAAATTATTTTTTGATCTCGTATGCCATATACGGTAGTATGAAAACATACGACGTACGCTGATATTAATTAAGGACTAGTTATGTGATTAAATAAATTATGTAGTCATGTGTCGTTTTGACTAGATGTGTAATTGGAATAAATTTCGAAGATCTGTGTTGTTCTTGGGGAAAATAATTGTATTGTTTCCGATGGTGCTAAAGGGAAATTTAAAAAAAAAGTGTAGCGAATTCAAATTAAATTCGTCAGTTCATTCGGAATCACGTCGACTGGGTAGCGTGATTCAACAAATTCCTTGCTGGAGCTGAGCGCAAGGACGTTCGCCACAAGCCGCTGAAATGGCCCGGGTCAACAACCTTCCCGTCGCGAGAAAGAGAGAGAGAATCGCGCTTGTCTGAGAAAAAATCGTAGAATACGCCTAGCAATTCCGTCTATGGCCATATTTTTCGTCCGGCTCAGAGGGGGGGACGCTTCATTTTCCTGGTGTATCCATTACGGCATGAGATATAACGCAATGGCCCGTCTTCTTGATGGAAGAGGTTTATTTCAGAGGATCTAGTCGTAAAAGTCCGCATAGCGTTGCCGCCTGGCTTCTATCGGTTTTCCTGGGCGGTAGTGGAATGAGTGAATCCATGGGGCGAATTTTTGCATTCTTCCTTCTGACAGAAAGCCCTCGAGAGACTGGGATTTTCATTTCCGATTGCTCGTAAATCTTTTAGTACTCGTTTCTGTTTCTCCGTTGTACACGAATAGAAAGTGGTAATAGATTTTCTGAGAGATGGAAAAATAATCTTTTTCATATTTCACGATAATCTAAACTATGATTGTGGCATCTTCGCGTCGTCTGATGCACGTGCGAGGGTTAAAATGGTTGTTCAGTACCACCGACATAAAGAGAGTCCGTATCGAAATAGCGAATGCAGTTATACTCACTTTACAACGATTTTCTCTGTGAACATTTTTACAACCAATCGGGGTTCTCTACCGTCCCCCGGAAGGGTCCTCCACCAAAAAAATTAGAGGCCTAGAAAAAAAATTTCGTTGCAGAGAACTCTTTTGGGATGGGAGAGACCTCCTATAGGACGAAAAAAGTATTTGATATAATTCAGCGAACCATAAAAAATTTTCGTTGTAGAGAGGCCACCTGTACGAGTGAGCATCTAATGATTAAATATCACCGATTCAACATAGCTCAAATGACTGATGAAATTCGAATTCAGTAGTTTTAAGAATTCTAAGAAAACGTAGCGTAACATTAAAAAAAAAAGAGTCTAAGCTATACTAAACTAACCTGTGCTACTCGTCATAAAATCATGAGAACTTGACTTTCTCGAGCTTGGTTAACATAACTGAAACTGTCCCGAGAAATGCTCTTGTGTTGCCGGTGGGTATAGCGTTTCGAACGTTTTCGAAAAATTGAGAAAATTCTGCGAAGGGTTTTGAAACACTTCAAATTTATCCTTTGTTGCACGAACGTCGAACAAAGAACAAAATTGACGCTTGTTGTCTTGGATTTTGTTTTTTAGTGCGCGATTGCCGAGCAACTTATCGAACTGTAGACCGAGTACGAACGGACAGATGGGAAAGAATCGCCCCGGATCCAAGCGGTAAGTCCTGTTGCTTCCTTTTTTGATCGTCTTTTCTGCCACAAGTGTTTTCGCACGTGAGAGAAAGATTGATTCTCAACATTTTGTGACCTCGAGCCCTCGGAGTTGTTGCGTCACGAATAATATAAAGCACTGTACGTTACGTTCGTCGTGTGGTATGAAATGTTTTTTTTTTTTCATTCTCGTTTCAAGGAATCTTATGCGATGCGTCTCGCCATGAATACTAATTACTTATCACGGAATTCCCAACGTTCTATTCTCTCGCATGATGCGGCGTATTATGAGAGTGGATAATGAATAGGTCCCGTGAAATAGCCATTTTTCTCTTTCAGGGATAATGTGGACGGTGCTTTACTTGTGGACCTCATTTTCAGCTGCTTACTTTTATGGTCCAATTGTTGTGCTAATTTGAATGCGCAGCGTCGTGGTCGTTGAGTTGCGCGATTCTGAATGTGCTGAGAAATTAAATACAGCACAATTATTAAAAAAATATTCACAGAATATACAGTAATTTTTTAGACCATAAAGCGATCGTACCTAGCTTTTAAACGAGCGAAATGCCGGCTAATCTCCGGCTTTGAGAAAAAAAAAAGAAAGAAAGAAAAAATAACTTGTTCAATAACGTCCAATCGGGAAATTTAGCGGTAGAAGAAAACGAACATTTCGATGTTCTCAGTTTCTCACACGAGAAAAATTCGTTAAATTATACAGAAAACGGGGTTTTCTTAAGAATCCTCTGATTTCAAATAAGTTCCACGGAGTATCAATTTCAGCCGAATTTACCAGTCTTATACAGCACAGTACTAATAAAGACTGGAGAAATTTGCGATGTTTGAGAGGCTATGCATCGCAGCTTTTTCTGCGTAAGAAAGAGAAAATACAGTACGTGCTGCTTATTATTATATATTGTTGCCGATTCATCCTCAAATATATTGTCATTTACTACCTGGTTCAATTCACGCCCATTTACACAGAAACAGGCTGTCGCGCGATTGAGAGCATCCTATTTTCAAGTTGGAGAATCCAGTTAAACTCTCCCTCAGATTGAAGTGGAAGTTGACGGTAATTGATCGCCGTTCGTCACGTTTGAATGGTCCCGGAGATCAGTACTTGATCGTAAATCACGTGTTCCTACAGAAAATTGCCTATAACAGTAATCCTTGGGTACACCCGTTATGTAGTTAAATTTCTGTTCCATGATAATTGGAGTTTCACTCCTGTAATTACAAGGAGCATGCAGAAAGGCCCGGCATTTTTTTAATTACGGAAATTATAACAGAAACAATGGGTATTTTCACGCTCGTTTCCTGTCTGAAATAGGCATTTGGTATAATTTGCAGTGGAAATTCCATTATCCGAGCTAATGGCTGATTACCTTTCTCTGGATCATTGCAAATTTGGGTAACTAGAAATGAAATTTTCAATCTTTCGAAGTACTGTAATTCCAATCTGCGTGATAAATTGAGGTGGCAAGGATAAAAGGCTTCAATTGAAAGTAACTGAGTAAATTAGTTATTCGTCCATGAAAGCAATAAATATTTTGTGCCGCTCGGATGCCGATTTATAGTGTAAAGCTTTTTTTTTTTTAGCGAGGATAATTGCGGCGCCGTTGGAATTAATTCCGCAGTAAATAACGGAACGGATTTTTGACGAGTTCATGGTGAGTTTCTACCGCTTCGAAGTGGGATTGAAGCTGAGCTGGTGTTAGTACCGTGCCTAAAGATATGACGCCAATGCCACCGCTGATGGGTTCATTAGTAATGTTTCCGCGCAGAACTGGGTTCGTCTGGTTTTCGTCGGGTCCCGAGCAACAAATATAGGTGAAAAAAATCCTCGCGACGAGAAAACGATACGACCCCCTTTCCTTCATTTCCACTCGAAACGTCGTAAATGAAAAGGCGGGTGATCACGTTGATCACTTCCGCCAAAATTACGAGCTACTGTACTTTGCTGCTGTCGGTTGATGAACGTGGGTTTTTAATGAAACATTTCATTACGAGCGAGGTTGAAAATGAGCTTTCATCTCCATTCTTCGTGGAGATACCTCGTGCAAGATGAAAAGCGCTTTCAACTCGGAGAAAAGGTTCCAGCAAATAATAAATGAAAACCTTGCGGCAAAGGAGAAAATGTTCCATGCTGAATTCTTGCGTTATTAATGCTTCAATTGTACGCCTTTGAAGCAATCGCGATTTCTTAAATCCGCATCTAAAGTTCTTAATAAATGAATACTAATCACCATCAACGCCTAGCATAAATGGATGCTTCAGCAGGAAATAAGAGAAAAGTAGGCCGAAAATGTTTTCGAGTTTAGGAAAGCATTCGAGTAATCGGTTGATTCTGATCTTGGTGCTTTACCCCTCATCTCCGTAATGTTGACAGCAGTTTACCGAGATACAGTATAAGCTGAAATTTCAGTTTGCACATTGAGGTTTTTCTGTCGCTCAACTCGAATGAGAATTCTATTTTCAAATACAGTATTTTCGAAACGCTGGAATGTGAATATGGAAGTGGAAGACTGATCTCCGCTTCCTGGTAGCCGCTAAGCCTCGGCGAAGGTCTTAACTACCGGATGGATCAATGCGTTCGCTTGAGAGTTCACTCAAACGAACTGAAAGCTGGGAGGTGATCAATGCTAATGCGTATATGTTTGGGAAAACGGGTTCAATATTCTCTCCAAGTTTTGGAGTGAGGATTAGGTGCTGAATTGTGAGGGGTGAATGGGTGCGTTCGCGGCGAGCTTTTAAGAAGCTCGCAGCCACTACGAAGGGATTCTCCTCTAGTGAAGACCTTCGGAGGATTAATGAACTCCTTGAAACGTGCGGGTTTCCACCAAAATTTCTCAGTGTCCGGTATGGTTTCCTACCGGCTCATTTTCTTTTGTGGTCAGTGGAGGGATTAAGGTGGGTGGACCATTCAAGAAGAGAAAGAAGATTTGGTCACTGGCCTGGGGAATGTGTGCCGGGCGCCATGGCTCAAGACCCCTCAAATTGTGCAAAGGCAGTAAAGGGGGACTCTGATCTTCCTTTCACAAATTTCTCCCGGGGGATTCCATTTGTGCAGTTGGTTTCAGTTCCTCACGAATGATATCCAATTTTTGGCGTGAACCTTCAGTTTAAATGTCTTCTTTTATGCGCTGAGCATCTGGGAATCATGTCAAGGTTCCGGAATAACCCCGGAAAAATCAGTGTGTTTGCAATTTCAAATTTGTTTGATTTTCTTACAGTAAAATGGCTCGATCTCCGTTGACCTTCCTCTTATTTTCAGAACGGGTACCGTTATGATTTCACGCAAATTCTGATTTATTAACGGTTTACAGCTTTTGCAACCGGTTGCTTTTCTCTTGGGTAATTATTTTTACGGTGGACTTATTGAAACGTTCCTTTTCTTTCTGTAAATGTCTTCTCACACCATGATTCAAGATAATTAAGTTACTCTAACTAGGTAATTTCGCAGTGAACGACTTTATTGTTCGAAATCATGGTACTGTATGTACAGTATTTACTTAGTGAATTATTCGTATCGCCTAGTACAGGTAGAATCTCTCGGCAACGATTTTGTCTATAACGATTTTCTATAGGCAGTAAAATCTCGTTTCAACGAAGGCATCGGGACCAGTAGAATAGCTTCGTTGTAACGAAAAATTCGTTATGGAGGAACTCTTAACTCGTCTTAACACTGTGGCTACTGGAGAAGGACCTGAAAAAGACTTTCGTTTTAATCGATTATCCGTTATAACGAGATTTTGCTGTACTTCCATTTTTTGGGATGTCTAAAAAAAGGGTCTCTATCCATACTCAGGAGTTTATGTACTACGAAGTTTTTTGTCTTTTGAATTTCGTTGTAGAGAGAGTCCACACATGAGTGATTCTGAGGAGTAGCGGATTAAATAAACGATGATTTGACGAGGTTTTTGCTCGAATTGCCCTTCGCCTCAATCAATGTACCAGAATTGAGCGCTTTGTCCTGTTCGCTGGGTCATTTCGATTGCAGATTTCTCGTTTATTCAGTTTTGTCTTCAGACTTGGAGACAGGGTGATGTTCGCGTGGAAAATGTCTTGGTCGAAAAAGTTTTGGTGTTCATTTTAAATTTTCCATGCTGTCGCTATTGATGACGGAAGTGCGTTTCCGTCGATGGCGTCTCTGCGATCTGCCTTCATCAGAATATTCCCCCACACCGTCATCTCTCAATTCTTGGATGGATCCCTCTCCCCACCACCAATATATAGTACAGTACAGTGCAGGCGGATGTGACCCCTCCTGCTTCTTAGTGTGAATCGATGCAGTCCGTTGCGTGCATGATATCGCGAAGCAACGACTCACTTCCTCGTCGTAATTGGATTTCCCTTGTATATATGCTCCTGGAACTTCAGGTTGCAAAGAAATGCAAAACGGGGGGGGGGGGGGGGGGGGATTTGGNGGGGGGGGGGGGGGGGAAGGGGGGGGGGGGGGGGGGGGGGGGGGGGGGGGGGCATCTTGGGCGACAAAGAAACTCCGAAATTGCGAATTCAGGGAAGGATTTCAGCTTGAATCGCGAAGTTCTTCTTTGGTTTGTTGACGCTCGCCGTTTTTCAAAACTGAATTTTGAGCATGTAAAAATGTCTTTCCGCGCAACTCGGCGATCAAGATTTACTTCTCATCTTGCTTTGGATAGAGCCGCATTCTGATTTTATGAATGCCAGCTAAAAGTCAACTCAATTCAAAGTACGTTTGTAACTTTTAAACTTCATTTTGTATCTTAGTTTCGGTATTAATCTGTACCTAGATGATGGGACCGTCATTGAATAAAGCTCGCGGAAACTGATCTGAAAATATCCTTCTGGTCTATCTAAAGCTCTCCTTACTGCGTTAATAATTTCCTTATGTCTTCGCTTCGGGGTATTATCTATTATTCTGTTCGAATATAGAAATGTGTTCCCGTTGATGTAAGTCTTACTGCTAATAACTCCATTCGGAAACCGTGAGTTGACTTTAATCGAAGTGTTGGAAGTATAAGTGTTCTCAATACCTGGTTTCCCGATTGAAGGTCTCTAGGATCGTTCAAGGAAGTACAGTACAGTACTTCCCTCATCGATGAAATGTTACATTTTTAATCTCACATTTGTGTGTTTTGACTCCGCCAGAAGTACAGATCCTGGTTTAAACGACGCTCAGAGGTACAAAAACTCGGCCAAGTTACTTTTGACCCATACTTTCAGTCTATTCTTGAATCTTCAATTACGGTTTTAATATACCCGTAAATGCAGGGTGGAAGCATTTTTTTCGATGATGCAGAGATGCTTTTATAATTTTTTTTGTGCTGGAGAGATTCCAACGTTATTCGAAGGTACTGTAGTACAGTATCAACAAGTAGAAACAGCCAAGCCCAATTTTCGGTGTCAGTTGAATTGAAGTAGTACACTAAAGTTTCTTCAGTGCTTCCGGGTGAAGTTGAAGAT